AGGCAAACTTGAATTTGAATCCTGGCTGGACTATGTATTATTTAGTATGCATCATCTCAGTTGGGTAACCTTGGACAAACTTACTAAAATTCTCTCTCAAGGTCTCAGTTGTGTCATCTTTAAAATGGGCATAGAGCCCTGGCCAGTTTTGCTCAGTGGTTAGAGTGTCGGCCTGCGGTCCAGGGAGACCCAGGTTCAGTTCCCGCTAAAGGCACGTACCTCAGTTGCAGTTCATCCCTGGTCCTGGTTTGTCGTGCGGGTGGCGGCCACTCGATATGTCCCTTTCACGTCAATGTTTCTCTCTCTCTCTTCCTCTCTCTCCCTCCCACTCTATCTGAACAAAAAATGGAAAAATGTCCTCGGGTGAGGATAAAAAAAAATGGGCATAGAATAGTCTATACCTCAGGGTTGTATTTAAGATTAAATGGAATGATGTGTGTAAGGGACCTGACATACAGCAATCCCTGCAAAAAGGTGGCTGTCATTGAGGGCATTTAATTATGGTTATTTATGTATTTATTTATTATTTTTTTAATCCTCACCCGAGGATATTTTTCCATTTATCTTCAGACAGAGTGGGAGGGAGGGAGGGAGGGAGAGAGAGAGAGAGAGAGAGAGAGAGAGAGAGAGAGAAACATGGACATGAGAGGGACACATTGACTGGTTGCATCATGCACGACCCCAACCACGGCCCAGGGACGAACCACAACCAAAGCTTATGCCCTTGACCAGAATTGAACCCGCGACTCATTGGTCGGCGGGCCAACGCTCTAACTGCTGAGCCAAACCGGCCAGGGCTAATTATGATTTCTTAAATTCTGAAACTATCAAACAAAATTATTTACATTTTCAGAGGAGTTGCTGTCTATTCCCCGGGGATCTTGAGCCCCATCCAGGGCTGGGAATGTGATTGAAGGCTTCCCACCAGCCCTGCTGCGGGTGGACTTGGCTGCACGGAGACAGCGATCCTGACAGCAGGGCTGGCTGTTTGTCCTCGAGGGATCCAGGGAACTTAATTTAGAAAGGACATGCTGTCCCAGGGCCCAGACTGCCCCCTCAACCTGCAGCTGCTGAATGGACTGAGCCCAGGAGGGAGGCTGCCTCAGCCCACCCGGCCCCTCAAACCCTGACCCCCGATCCCAGTGCTCGGTGTCCACCTCGGTCACAACAGCCTTTGGCTCAGTGCTCAGTGCTCTTCTCTTAGGAGCAGCTTCTGGTTCCTGAACACAGAGCTGAGCTCTGCTTCTATCATGACCAGTGGGCTAGAGTTTCTCTTCGTGGTGATAAAAAGTTTTGGAAAAAGTAGTGATGATGGTTACACAACATTGTGAATGTAATTAATGCCACTGGATGGTACACTTAAATATGGCCAATTTTGTTATAGAAATTGTACCACTATATATATGGATATATATATAAATTCTCACCCAAAGATTTTTTCCATTGAATTTTAGAAAGAGTGGAAGAGAGAGAGGGAGAGAAAGAGAAAGAGAGAGAAAGAGAAACATTGATGTGAGAGAGACACATAGATTGTTTGCCTGCCGCACAACCACGACCTGGGCAGGGGATCATACCTGTAATCCAGGTACATGCCCTTGATTGGGAACTGAACCCATGACCTTTACATATGCAGGCTGAGCAACACTGGCCAGGGCAATATTTATATTATTGTTATTATTTTACTAGTGTAGTCTTTCAAACTTTTTAAAATACGTTTTTGTTGATTTTTTAGAGAGAAACATTGATATGAGAGAGAGACATCCATTGATTGCCTCTTGCACGCCCCCTACTGGGGATCGAGCCATGACCAGGAATCCAGCTGGGACCTGTCAGTCCATGGGATGAAGCTCAGTCCACTGAGCCTCACTGAGATGGTGTGAAAAGGAAAAAAATACAGCTCTGGCTGAGTGCTCTCTTGGTTAGTGTATCATCCTAATACACCAAGATTGTGGGTTCGATACTGTTCAGGGCACATACAAAAAGCAACCAATGAATGCATAGATAAGTGGAATAACAAATCAATGTTTTTCTCTCTCCTTTCCTCTCTCTAAAAATAAATTTGCAAAATAAAAGAAATAATACTAAAAAAAATGAAGAAAAAAATCCAGGAAAGGGAGGACTGAGGGAGAGCAGGCTTGCCCTGTGGGGTTTTGGAACATAACCTGGGGCCGAGGCCGCCACATTGGGAGACTTGGGTGTAGGTCCCTGTTTCTCTCCTTATTTTTGGCTCTATGATGTTGAACTCAACTCCTCGGAGGATACCATGTCCTCACATGGCTGGCTGTCTTGGAACCAAATGTGATTAAATGATGAGAAACTCTCTGTAAAACACTGAACAAGAAAAAAGGAGCCCTGGCCGATTTGGCTCAGTGGTGAAGAGCATTGGCCTGCGGTCCAGAGAGACCCGGGTTCAGTTCCCGTAAAGGGCACATACCTCGGTTGCAATTTGTCCCCGGCCCTGGTTGGGTGGTGCAGGAGGCAGCCACTCGATGTGTCCCTTTCACGTCAATGTTTCTCTCTTTCTCTCTCCCTCCCACTCTATCTGAACAAAACATGGAAAAATGTCCTCGGGTGAGAATAAAAATTTAAAAAAGAAGAAGAAGGAAAGAAACCTACCACAAACAAAATACAGTAGTATTTTTTTTCCCCTTTGCTCTGAGGATGCTTAAAATTCCACTTTAAGGCTTGGAATTAAGGATTGGAAGAGGGGAGACTAAAGGAATCTCTCAGTCTCTGGCTCTGCGTGATGCTATTTTCCCATGGGTTGACATCCAGGGAGGGGACTGTGAGACCCAAGATGTCAGAGGACAGCAGCTCAGTGGAGTGCCCTGGAACCACCCCCAACGTGGGTTTAGCTCTGGTGTTTAGCAGCTGAGAAGTGGTGTCCTCAGCCTGTCCTCTCTGTCCTGGCACATCTCCCCTCCACTAGCCTTCAAACCCTCGGACGCCTTTCCCATCTTTCTCCTGGGAGATTTATTTCTGTCCCGTTTTTCATCTAAAGCAGCGGAAATGCATCATCTTCTCACTTGTTTGGTAAACAGTCCCGTGCCCTCTGACCCACTGTGCTCGCTCGCTGGTTCCTCTGGAGCTGCTCCTGGGCGAGGCTTCCGCCCCCTTCCCCAGTCAGGCTCTCCTTTCCCTGGGCCTGGAGCATGACCTCCTCCACCCTGGGAAGATGAGAAATGACACACAGCATTCCAAATGATGATCCCACGAGCTGACCAGAGGGGCCGGGAAGCAGGGAAGCCACCATGTCCTGAGAGCTTTGTGTGCCAAGTACTGGCACATCTTGATGACCCTACTAGGTGGATCTCGTAATCCTCATTTTACAGGTGTGGGGTCTGAGGCTCAGAAAATTGACAGCACTTGCCCAAGGCCACACAGCTAGTAAGTGATGGAGCCAAGGTTCAAAGCCTGGATTCTTGGATGCATGCCACTACACGGAGCTGTGTTGGCATGTGTGCACATGTGTGTTGAATTGGGGATGCAGGCAAGTCAGCTGCATCAGCTGCCAACCATCAGGATGGAAACCTAATGTACATGTGCATTGAGCCACATGCATATGACAGATGGGTGTTTCCCTACAGAGGAGATGGCAAGTGTGTGCAGCGTGAATCCTACCAGGAGCCCGTGGGTCACTGAGGATGATGTCAAAGGAATGACAAGAATGGGAGAGGGGAACAGGGATGAATAAAATGCCCATGTTCAAAACCACCTAGGCCCTGTCCACACCTGCCCACATTTCACCCATAAAACTGTTCAGGGGCCCCTGGCTGAGTAATTCAGTTGGTTGGACTGTCATCCAGATTCACCGGGGTTGTGGGTTTGATCCCCCTCTGGGCACATGTGGGAAGCAACCCATCAATGTTTCTCTCTCTCTCTCCCTTCCCCTTCCTCTTTCTCTCTGGAATCAATAAAGAAACATGTCCTTGGGTGAGGATTTTTTAAAAAGTGGGTGGAGCAACAGATCGATGTGTCTCTCTCTCTATATAAATCAAGTAATAAAAAACCCACAGAGCCCTTGCTGGTTTGGCTCGGCAGTTGGAGCGACGGCCTGCGGTCCGGAGAGACCCGGGTTCGGTTCCCGCTAAGGGCGCGTACTTCGGTTGCAGTTTGTCCCCGGCCCTGGTTGGTCGTGCGGGTGGCAGCCACTCGATGTGTCCCTTCATGTTGATGTTTCTCTCTCTCTCTCTCTCTCTCTCTCTCTCTCTCTCTCTCTCTCTCTCTCTCTTCCTCTCTCTCCCTCCCACTCTATCTGTACAAAAAAATGGAAAAGTGTCCTCGGGTGAGGATAAAAAAAAACACAAAAAAACAAAAAACAAAAAAACCCACAGAACTGTCCAGGGTGTCCACGTTGGTGAAACCACACTTTCTGGTGAACACAGTCATGCAACATGTGTTAGGCTTCTAAAAACATGAAGGTCCGATTCCCAGGAGCTATGTGAGATGCGGAAATAAAAGTACTGACATCAAACTATCTAGTGTGGGTGTGTGTTGGGAGGGAAGAGGAATTCACATAAATATATAACTAACTGATGCAAGGTAGCTGGAAGGTGCTCGGGACCAAAGGGATGGGCGGATTCTATAACGTTTTAGGAGGACCACAAGCTGGAGAGATCTTCGTATCAAGGAGGGCTTCCTGAGGAGGTGGCATTTGCAAGTCTCTAAATCTCTAAGTGGATGTAAAATCTATATCAATAGAATGCTTTAACAGAAATTAGATCCTGTTTGATTTTCCAAGGAGCCGTGAGACGCAGGCAGATACCTTTATTTCCCTTTAACTGAGGCCCGGAGAGGTTGGACAGGTCGCTGGCAGTCGTGCAGCTGGGAGCTGGCGGACCGCCGAGGGCGGAGCGGAAAGCCGTGGGGGCGGGGCTGGCGGCGGCGCGGGCGGAGCCGGGGGCGCGGGGCCAAGTCCCTCTCCACCTGCGGGCGAGCGCGGGCCACGGGCGGCCGCGGGCCGGGGCGCGGCAGGCTGAGCCCCGCTGAGCCCCGCTGAGCCCCGCTGGGCCCGCCGGCCGGCCATGGGCGACCGCGAGCGCAACAAGAAGCGGCTGCTGGAGCTGCTGCAGGCGGAGGGCACTGGCAACGCGCACTGCGCCGACTGCGGGGCCGCGGGTAAGGGCGCGGGGCGCGGGGCGCGGGCAGCCGGGACCCCGAGCCAGACCCCAGCCCACCAGACCGTCCCGGGCCCCCGCTGGACCCGGGCATGACCCTGTGACACCTTCGGAGCCAGGCCCCCGCCCACCCAGAGCTAGAATCCCCGACCCGGACCCCTGCCCGCTCCCTTCTCATCCTCCCCACTCTGGACCCCAACACTCGATCTCAGACGCGGGTGCCCCGACCATGCTGCTCACCTCCCCCGCCAGACACCCTGCCTACTTGGACCTCGGTCCCGGACGCCACTTCCCACACGCCGACGCGCCCCAGACCCCGCTCCGGTGCCCCCTGACCAGGCAGTGCCCCCTCCCCCAGATACCCCCGAGTCTTCTCACCTTCCAGCGGCGGTGACAGGCTGCTGGGAAGTGTCCGATGCCCGTCCAGGAGCCAGACTTCCCTACCTGCAGGTCCCCTGCCGGGTGCCTCTGTGCCGGTCCCTCCAACGGCGCTCCCTCTCGGCTCCCTGGAGTCCTGCTGCCTCCACCTCTTGTCCCCATTCCCGAGCTCCTTCTAAGATCTTATCCTGTCGCCACAGTGCCCAGGCCGCTGGGATGACCAGCAGGCTTCATGCTGGTGTTCTTAGCTCACCCGAGGTGGGAGACCCCGAGAGAGAAGTGTTTCCCAGCGTGGGCAGAGCTGGGCATCGCCCCAGGAACCAAGCACTGCCTCTCCCAGCGCCCCGAGTCCAGCCCTAGTTCCTCGCCTAGCTCCCCACCGAGTCCGGCTCCTGTCCTCTCCCCCGCAGATCCTGACTGGGCCTCTTACAAGCTGGGCATCTTCATCTGTCTGAACTGCTCCGGCATCCACCGAAACTTCCCAGACATCAGCAAAGTTAAATCCGTGAGACTTGACTTCTGGGACGACAGTATTGTGGAGGTAGTGCGAGGCGCACATGCAGAGCCTTGGGACAGCAGAGCTGGGGGGAGGTGTGGGCAGGGCGCTCCCATTTCACAGGGAAGGAAACTAAGGCCCAAAGAGGGGCAATGATTAGGGAAAGAAAGCAGCCTATTAGAACTGTGGCTTAGACAGAGGCCCTAAGTTCAAATCCTAGCTTCATCACTTGTTTATTTACAAGCTGTGAGGCCCTGAGCTTATTTAACCCTAGTTGTGGACCCCAGTTTCCACATCTGTTTTGTGGGGATTCCACCACCCCCTTCACAGGCTGCTGTAAGGATTCCATGTCGGCTCGATGCAGGTACAAAGTAAGCACTCAGTTAACCGCTCCTGTTCTCATTAGCTGAAGCCCTCGACTGGAACAGAAGCATCCCAGTTCAAGTATCCTGAGTCTATTCTTTCCCTCCAGTCCCCCTAGCCAGGAAGGGGACCACTTTGCTCCCCTGACCTACGGAGATGGAGGACACCTTCGGCCTGGATGAAAATACCAGTTTGGCCAGGACACCTTCCGAGAGCAGGCACTAAACTGTGCTGTTTGGTTGAGGATTCCAAGGACTGTTGGGGAAGCAGGCCCATGGTCTCTGAGTGCTCACTCTGTGCCAGGCACTGTGCTAGACCACTGGGCTAGACGCTTTCCTTGTTCATTCAACACCTAGCTACTGGATGCCTACAATGTGCTGGGTAAGATAAAGTGAGCAAGATAAAGTCTGCCCACTCAGAGCTTACATTCTAGCGTAGAAGGGCTGGAAACCAGCAAACCAGCACATAAACCCGAAGGTTATTATTTTGTGCCTTATAACTCCCCGTTATATCTCCTCCAATTTTGCAGGTGAGATCCCCGAAGCTCAGGAGTCAAGTATTGCCCAAGGGTCACTCCGTAAATAAGTGGTAGAGCTGGGATGCGAGCCCTGCTCTCCTGGGACCCAAAGCCCATGCATATCCTGTGACACAGCCCAGTGGCCCCTGGGGAGGGGGAGAATAGGGTTCATCATATTAAAAACCTGATGTTTCTTCCCACACTGCCCTCACCCCAGATATGCCACTGCTGTTACTGAGTGCTGACTGCTGGCCAGGGCCACTCTTGGCACGTGTGTACCTCTGGGTCCCTTAGGTGTCAAAGACACCAGTGAAATTCTGAACTAATACTCTATGGGGCCAGCACCGACTTCCATCCCCCAGCTATGTGCAGGCTTGCAGGGACTGTTGCTGGGGGTCCTGGCCATCTGCGGAGTGGGTGGGAGAAAGAACATGAGCTTTGGAATTAGACAGGCCTGGGTTCAAATCGCAGCCCTCCACTTACAAACTGTCATCTTGGGTAAGTCACCTAACCTCTCCAAGGCTCTAAAATGGGGATGGTAATATTGACGTTGTTAAGGGGATCGAGTGAACCGCTGTGTGGGAACTGTGACGTGCTCGGCCTCTCAGGCATACAGCGCCACGTTGCTCCCGGCTGGGCTTTCCAGCAGCGGGGGACAAACTCCCTTAGGACTGTCTGCTCTCCTGACTCAGCAGAGGAGCCATGGTTTCATTTCACATTTTTGCAAGTTCTAATATTACCATCAAGTTGCTGTTGTTTTGCAGTTTATGACCCACAACGGGAACCTCCGTGTGAAGGCCAAGTATGAAGCCCGAGTCCCTGCTTTCTATTACATCCCCCAGGCCAGCGACTGCCCGTGAGTGCATGATCTCCTGGTCCTGACCCCGTCTCCGGGTCTTTGTCTGCGGTGGTCTCAGCTGTGGACCTGGTCAGCGGGGGGATCCAGGAAAGAGTTTGGTACTGTCATGGAGAACACATACAACCTAGTTTAAGCCCCTTCTGCCTTTATTGCTTGGGTTGTCATTTCCTCCCTCTGGGACTCAGTCTTCATAGCTATGAAATGGGGCATTTTTTCTATTATCTTCCCCATTTGCCTCTGACGCTCTCACAGATGGTGGCTAACTTGATAAAGAGAAATGCTGGTATTTTAGTAGAACAAATGTATTCCAGCTACTTCCTATGGAGTGCTGGGCTTAGGGATGTCCCAAAGCAGCTGCCTGGGCCCCAGGTCCCTAAATAGTAACCATAAAAATAATAGTAGCTGCTAATATTTATTGAGCTTTACCCATATACCATGCCTTGTGCTAAATAATTATGTGGATTAATTTGTTGAATACTCTCAACAACGCTGTGAGACAAATACTTCCATTATCCCCATGATATAGATGAAAAACCTGAGGCTTATACTGTAGAGGCAGAGCTGGGACTAGCCCACCTGACACCAGGGCCTGGGTGCCTGAACCATGGCACTGGGAAAATCCAATATAATGGGGGTGGGGGGAGGTCCGGGGAGTATCTGTGAAGCAGCAGGAGGTTCAGTTCACCTGGAGTTGGGGGGTCAGTGTGACACTGGTACCTGGTGACCCCTGACCTCTGCAGGATTGACTGCCTGAGCCTGAACCGCTCTCCTAGGGACTCGGCCTCACCGCCAGGCAGCACCTGTGTGCACGGGAAGAAGGTATTCCCCTGGACAGACAGCCTCACGGGGACATGGCCTGCAGGAAGCAGGCTGCGTTTCGGCTACCGTTGTCCACTAGCCTCAGCAGGATGCTTCTGGACAATGCACAACCATACCTGGTGGTCCTGCAATTTCCCAGCAGCAGGGGAGGCACAGCTTTGGACTCAGAAGACCTCAGTTCTGTTTCCTGAGTCTATCATGACCTAACTGTGAGAAGGTGGACAAGTTATCAAACCTCTCTGACGCGTGGCATCCTCACCTCTGAGATCTAGATAATGATGCCTACATCATAGCGTGGTGGTGGGCTCAATGAGTTAATTTATGTAAACATCTTGTAGGTGCCCTGAAATACTCGTTTAAATCCGTTTCTCAGTGTCAGCTTCGGAATGCTGCCTGGTCCCTGGCCCAGCTGAGGGGTGTGCCAGGTTCCACTCAGGGCCTGATCATCTTGCCTCACCTCTGCCACGTAGCCCTTGGCTCCAAGGGGAAGGGAATGAGCACCTGGTGAGCACCTACTATGTGCTGGGCTTTCTGCCTGCACCACACGGACACTGCTTGTGCCTCCCACAGCAGCCCTCCGCTTCCACCCCTTTAGCTGAATGCTAATGGCCTCTTCCCTCCAATTACAAAAGCCCTCTAAATCCCCCACGTCCAGGACCAGGATGGGGGCCTCAGTCTCCATTCCCTCTCCCAGCTCTGATCCTGTGGCCCAGGGTTCCACGGTGGGCTTGGTGAGGCCTGTGCATTAGATAGGATTGTTTGTTCACTTTGGTTGTCATGTGATCTTTTTAAAATTAATTTTTCTTTTTATTGATTTAGAGAGAGAGGAAGGGAGAGGGAGAGAGAGACAGAAACATCGATGAGAGAGAACATCGATTGGCTGCCTCCTGCATGCCCCCCGCTGGGGATCCGGCCCACAACCTGGGCATGTGCCCCGACTGGGAATCGAACTGGTGACCTCTTGGTGCATGGGTCGATGCTCAACCACTGAGCCACACTGGCCAGGCTGTCATATGACTTTAATTGAATTTTTTCCCTTTGTAGTTCTTGACTAGCTGGGCATTCCACTGCGGAGGTTATCTATGATGTTGTGAGGGTGGCAGCCATCAGCACTGCAGCCCACAGACTGGGCAGGCCCCAGGATCTCTTTCATGGTTCCGGAGAGTTCTCTAGCTAAGGATTGGTGCTGCATCTGTCGGGCAATGTTGACAAGCTAATCAAAAGTGATATTTCCACCCTGGCTGGCTTGGCTCAGCGGTTAGAGTGTCAGCCCATGGACCAATGAGTGTTGGGTTCCATTCCAGTCAAGGGCATGTCCCTCAGTTGCAGTTCGTCCCTGGCCCTGGTCAGGCCATTTGGTAGGCAGCCAGCTGATTTCACATCGATGTTTCTCTCTCTCCCTCTCTCTCTTTCTCTCCTTCCCACTCCCTCCCTTCCCTCTACTCTATCTGATGATAAATAGAAAAATATCCTCGAGTGAGAATTTTTTTAAAAAAAGTGATATTTCCACTGGGCTTCGTGTTTTTTGCTTCTTTCTGTCGTGTGGTGGGTCTCTGAGGGCTCTGATGACCAGGGCGGAGGCAGAGGCACTACCTCGGTCTGGGCCTGTCTGTTCTGAATGGTCAGTTTCACTGCGATCCTCAGACTCTTCCTTTGACAATGTCATCACCAACCTTTTTTGGAGACAGACCCAGGGGTCCGATTTTGGGGGCCAGGGCAGATATGGCACCAACTTTCCTACTGGTGCCTTCACATGTAGGACTTTGATCTCTTTGGGGTTAAACTTGGCAGCGTGGTGGAGGCAGCTGGTGTCCGATAAATCCAGATTCAGGATGACTGAAGAAATGTGCACCTAAGCCTCCTCCGAGCCAAACGCCAAAAAGTTGGATAGGGCTCTTGATTATAAGGGACAGAAACCCGGTATAAACCAGCTAAGGAACATTGAATTTTTTCCATTGAATTTTTAGAGAGAGTGGAAGGGACAGGGGTGGAGATAGAGAGAGAGACTGAGAGACATCAATTGGTTGCCTCCTGCACATGCCCCAACCAGGGCTGGGGATGGAACCCAGGTACATGCCCTTGACCAGGAATCAAACCTGTGACCCTCTGGTCTGTGGGCCAACACTCTAACCACTGTTCCACACTGGCCAGGGACTTGATATATATTTAAAGCTACCCTAAGGGATAGGTAGGTGTAATATTATTGGCATATTCCCCAAGTTCAGAGGAGTAAGTAACTTGTTCTTGGTCACACAGTGGATAAATGGTCGAGTGGGACCAGGTCTCAGATGGTTAGACCCCAAGACCACTGCTCTGTCTGGGGTAGCATGCCCAGAGTTCACGGGCAGGCCACAGGAAGCGGCTCCTAGACCCTCCTGGCTTAAGCTAGAAGCATGTAGTGGGAGGTGATGGTGTAGATGATCCAGGGGAGCTGGTATGTGCCTCACTGACCTAGAGGGTTGAGGCTGGGGTTGGAATAGCCCAGTGGTTTCCGTATAGCTCACTGGGGGATACATTTCCCCCTGTAGACACTGGCAATGTCTGAAGCCATTCTTGGGTATCAATGGGGAGGAAGGGCTATTGGCATCCAGGGGAAGAGGCCAGAGGTGCTGCCCAATGGCCCACAAAGCACAGGACAGCCCCCACTAGAGTTATCCTGCCCCAAAGGTTGAGAAGCCCTGGGTGGCCGGAGCAAGCAGCAAGGGGCTGCTGTGACGCCCCCATCCTCAGCCTCAGGGCCTCAGAAAGTTACTGCGGGCAGAGAGCGCATCAGACACAGCTGACCAGAGGTTCTCTCTTTGTAGGGTCTTAAAGGAACAATGGATTCGAGCCAAGTACGAGAGACAGGAATTTATGGCTGATGGGAAAACCATGTCACCCTCAGGTACTGTGAATTTTCATCATCTTTTGCGGTCTATGTTCCAGCAAGTTCTAGAAAACAAAGCACCTGGTTATTAGGAGCTAGGCCCAGGTGTGGGGTCCTCTGCCTCCAAAACAACGGCACCTCAGTTTGTGGGTTTGTGGTCTGAGCGGACAGGAAGCATATTTGCATCAGCCTACAAATTTGTATCAGTCCTGTGGGGACACAAGTGTGTAGCGTCTTTGTACGAGTTGCAGGAAGACTCACCCAGCAGGAGCACACCCCTGCTCCTTGCGGCCCCTGGTGTGGCACAGGCTTGGTAAGGTGCAGGGGCTGGATTTCAGCTACCTTCCTGCCTCTGTGCAAGGCACAGCCTCATCGGTGGCCCTGGACCTGTGGCAGTGTCTGCCCAGCTGCTCTGAGTCCAAGCTGACACTGACCCAGAAAGCAAAGAGCACAAAACCACTCATTGAGGACCAGAGGCAGCCAGTGCCCACGCTCCCAGCCACCAGGAGCACAGGGTATCCTTCAGCCCGCAGGTACCTAGAGCTCGCTCGTTATTCCTGAGCTCTGGGGAGTGTCACCGGGCTGATGTCAACATGAAGCCATCAGTATAGTTTCTCAGTACTTAGACCACTTGAGGCTTTACTCTGTCTTCTTAAGAAATAGTCAGGGAAGAAAGCTGTGGGGAACCCAACTGAAATCATAAGACTTTTCATGTTTGGCCCCACGTAGGGCCCCCGTGTCCTGCACCTGAAATAGCTGTTAGTTTCGAGACATTTCAGCAGCAGGCGGAAGGCTCATTTTACCCCAAGACCCTGTGAGGTGTGCGAGCTGTCTATCTGTCTTCGAGCTGTGGGTGTTCACTCTTTGTCGTCCTCGGTGGCTAAGATAACCGAGAAGGGTTCCTGTGGAAGCGGGGAAGGGACAACGCGCAGTTCCTGAGAAGGAGATTCGTCCTGTCGGCAGGAGAAGGCCTTCTGAAGTATTACACTAAAGAAGAGGTAAGAGGCCAGCCCAGCCAGGGGTCCCCTCCCCTAGCACTGGGCTCTCACCCCACTGAGGTCTACACTTTCTTTTTTTTTTTATCCTCACCCGAGGACATTTTTCCATTTTTTGTTCAGATAGAGTGGGAGGGAGAGAGAGGAACACAAAGAGAGAAACATCGATGTGAAAGGGACACATCGAGTGGCTGCCACCCGCACGACCAACCAGGGCCGGGGACAAACTGCAACCGAGGTACGTGCCCTTAGCGGGAACCAAACCCGGGTCTCTCCAGACTGCAGGCCGACGCTCTAACCGCTGAGCAAAACCGGCCAGGGCAGTCTACACTTTCTTTACTTTTTTTTCTTTATTGATTTTAGAGAGAGAAGAAGGGAGAGGGAGAGAGAGAGAGAAACATCGATGAGAGAGAACATCGATTGGACACCTCCTGCATGCCCCCCACTGGGGATCGGGCCCACAACCTGGGTATCCTGACCGGGAATCAAACCGGTGACCACTTGGTGCATGGGTCAGTGTGCAACCACTGAGCCATACTGGCCGGGCAAGGTCTACACTTTTTTTTTTAATCCTCACTCGAGGACATTTTTCTATTTTTTGTTCAGATAGTGTGGGAGAGAGAGAGAGGAAGAGAGAAAGAGAGAAACATCGACGTGAAAGGGACACATCGAGTGGTTGCCACCCGCACGACCCAACCAGGGGCGAGGACAAACTGCAACCGAGGTACGTGCCCCGGTTAGCGGGAACCGAACCCGGGTCTCTCTGGACCGCAGGCCGACATTCTAACCGCTGAGCCAAACCGGCCAGGGCTCTTTCCCCCTATTTTAATTAGGTCATTTGTCTCTTTATTATTGAGTTGTAGTAGTTCTTTATATATTCTAGATGCAAGTCCCTTATTGGATATATGATTTACCAAAAATTTACACTTCTGTACTTTACTCTGAGATAGGAAGCCACAGGAGGCTTCTGAGCAGAGAAATGATATAGTTTGACTTAAACTTTTTAAAACGGGCACTCTGGCTGCGGCTGGGGCGAGGCTGGGGCAGGAAGGGGGCAAGAGTGAAAGCGGAGAACCAATGAGTGGCTACTGCGACCCTCCAAGTGAGGGTCATGGCCCTCCAGGACGGCGGAGAAAGAGGTGGCTAGAAGTGGTCAGATTCTGCACATATTTTGAAGTAGAGCCAATAGGATTTACTGAAGGACTGGATACGGGGTGTGAAAGTAAGGAATCAAGGATGACTCCCAGATTTTTGCCCTGTAAAACTGGAAGGGTGGTTTGCCATTTGGCGAAATGGGAGACTTAGCTCCCTCAGGGGATGGTTAAGAGCCCTTTTCCATTTGCGATGTGTGTTAGTCATGCAAGTGGAGACATTGAGACGGAAGTTGGGATATGACTCTGGAGGTTTGGGGAGAGTTCGGAGCTGGAGTCTCCAGCATGTAGACGGGTTTAGCAATGGGACTGGCTCGGGTCACCTAGGCAGGGCGGGTGGGCAGATGAGAAAAGATGTCTGAGGACTGAGTATTTTATTTTATTTTTTTTATCTTTATTGTTGAATGTATTACAGATGTTCCTCATTTTTCCCCCGTTGACCCCTTCCTCCCCAAACCCACCCTCCTCCCGCCTTTTCCCACACTGTTGTCCGTGTCCATTGGTTATGCATATAAGTTCTTTGGTTTATTTCTTTCCACCCCCCCAACCCCCCTTCCCTTTGAGGTTTGTCAGTCTAGCAAGCAATTTGTACTTCTTAATCCCTTCACCTTTTTCACTCATTCCCCCAACCCCCTCCCATCTGGCAACCAACAAAATATTCTCTGTATCTATGAAAATGTTTCTGTTCTGCCTGTTCATTTTGTTTGTAGATTCAGTTGTCGATAGATATGTATTCATTACCATTTTGTTTGTTCATATATTTTATCTCTTTCTTCAAAAAGACCCTTCATCATTTCATATAATAACGGTTTGCTGGTGATGAACTCCTTTAACTTTTTCTTGTCTGGGAAACTCTTTATATGGCCATCAATTCTAAAGGACAGCTTTGCAGGATAAAGTAATCTTGGTTGTGGGTTCTTGCTTTTCATCACTCTAAATATTTCTTGCCACTCCCTTCTGGCCTGCAAAATTTCTTTTGAGAAATCAGTTGATAGCCTAATGGGAACTCCCTTGTAGGTAACTAGCTGCCTTTCTCTTGCTGCTTTTAAGATTCTTTCTTTGTCTTGAACCTTTTGCATTTTGATGATGATGTGTCTTGGTGTGTGCCTCTTGGGGTTCATCTTGTTTGGGACTCTCTGTGCTTCCTGGACTTGTATGTATGTTTCCTTCCCCAAGTTAGGGAAGTTTTCTGCCATTATTGTTTCAAATAGGTTTTTGATTTATTGTTCTCTCTCTTCTCCTTCTGGCACCCCCAAGATGTGAATGTTGGCACGCTTGAAGTTGTCCCAGAAGCTCCTTACACTATCCTCATTTTTTTTTGATTTTTTTTTCTTTTTTCTGTTCTGATTGGGTGTTTTTTGCTTCCTTGTATTCCAAATCGATGTTTTGCTTCTTGGCTTTACCTACTCTATTACTGAATCTGTGTAAATTATTCTTTATTTCAGTTAGTGCCTCCTTCATTTCTGACTGTGCATCCTTCATTTCAGACTCGTCCTTTTTAATGCTCTTGAGGCCCTTACTAAGTTCATTGAGCATCCTTATAAGCAGTATTTTGAACTCAGCATCTGTTAGGTTGCTTATCTCCATTTCGCTTAGTTCTTTTCTTGGGGTTTTGTTCTGTTCTTTCATTTGGGACCTGTTTCTTTGTCTCCTCATTTTGGCTGCCTCCCTGTGTTTGTTTCAGTGTATTACTTAATGAGAGGTATGGGGCTCGCTGAGACCAGATGCTGCTCGTTTGAAAGAATTTAGGAAAAACCTGAAGCAGGATCCAAGACCGGCCAGTCCTTTGGTTAAGCAACTGGCAACAGCTTGGGTGGGCCTGAAAGTTGGGTGGGGCAGGGCCTCAGGGAATCACCAGGGCTGGGCTACCAGTGTGAGACAGGTTGCTGGAGTCCCAGATATGGTGGCTATCTGCTGCCCCAGGGCAGGGTTCATCAAAGGAACGAAGGCCTCTGACAGCACGTCTGTCCCAGAGAAAGCCCCCTCTCCAGCCCTTGCTCCAGTGCCAAACAGCTCAGTTCTTCCCTGTATGTCTCTGGCGCCCCTCAAGCTGCCTCCCCTCCAAGCTTAGAGGGAGCAAGTCTGATAAGTCTGTGCACGGGCCCTTTAAGAGGAGCTGCCTGGGGCTCCAGCCGCCTCAGCCTCTCTGAGCCTCAGTTCCTGCTGGTTTTTCCAACCCGAAGTTATGGGGACTCTCTTCCTGGCACTGGAACCCTGAGCAGGGCGCCTGGTGTGGGATGGGGACCCCTCAGTCCTCAGGAAGGACCTTCCCAGCCGAGGTGTCCTTCTGATTTTTATCTGCCAGACGTGGTTGTGGGACCAGCCCGTCCGCCCGTCCTTCCAGTCTTAATTCCGTAGTTGTACAACTTCCATTCAGCTCGATTTCAGGTGGTTTTGAATGATGATCTGTAGTTTAGTTGTAACTTTGATGTGATTGTGGGAGGATGTGATACCATGTTTACGTACACTGCCATCTTGACCAGAAGTCAGGGCTGAGTATTTTAGTTATTTGTTGCTGGGTGCCAAACCATCATAGAGCGTAGAGGCTTAAAACATCAATTTATTATTTCCCACAATCTCCTGTGGGTCCGGAATCTGGGCAGGCATGGCCGCTCCCTTGCACTCCACATAGCATCAGCTCGGTCACACCTGCTGCATTTAGCTGGTGGTTGGGCTGGGCCACAAGGCCCAGGAAGCCTTCCCTCACGTGTCTGGTGCTTCGGGTACCCAGATAGCCTCTCTTCCTCTGTGTGATGGTTTCTAGCTTGAGCTTCTTTGCAGCATGATGCTGTCCTCCCCACAGCAAACAAGGGTGCTGCAGGCCTCTTAAAGACTAGGCCAGTCCAGCCAGTATGGCTCAGCGGTTGAGTGTCAACCCATGCACCAAGAGGTCACCGGTTCGATTCCTGGTCAGGACACATGCCCAAGTTGTGAGCCCCATCCCCAGTTGGGGGGGGGTGGCATACAGGAGGCTGCCAATCAATGTTTTCTCTCATCAGATGTTTCTATCTATCACTCTTACTTCCTCTCTCTCTAAAATCAATAAAGGAAAAAAAAAAAAAGGCTAGGCCAGAAACTGCCTTCTATTGGTCAAAACAAACCATGCAGCTAGTCCTGATTCAAGGGAAGGGGATATAGACTCCATCTCTTTTTTTTTTTTTTTTTTTTTTTTAATCCTCATCCGAGGACATTTTTCCATTTTTTGTACAGACAGAGTAGGAGGGAGAGAGAGGAAGAGAGAGAGAGGGAAACATCGATGTGAAAGGGACACATCGAGTGGCTGCCACCCGCACGACCAACCAGGGCCGGGGACAAACTGCAACCAAGGTACATGCCCTTAGCGGGAACCGAACCCGGGTCTCTCTGGACCGCAGGCGGACGCTCTAACCGCTGAGCCAAACCGGCCAGGGCTAGACTCCATCTCTTTTTAAGAAAAAAAATATTTTTATTGATTTCAGAGAGTGGAAGGGAATGAGGGAGAAAGAGATAGAAATATCAATGAGAGAGAAACATCTGTCAGCTGCCTCCTGCATGCCTCCCACTGGGGATCAAGCCTATAATCTAGGCATGTGCCCCAACCAGGAATTGAACCAGAGACCCCCTGGTGCAAGGAACAACACTCAACCGCTGAGCCACACCAGTCGGGCTAGATTCCACCTCTTGATGGGTGGAGAGGCATGGGTACACTGGCGGGAAGGGCCATCTTTGGAGATTATTTGCCACACTGAGCCCTGGGACAACCCAGTATTTAGAGGACAGAAGATGAGATGTTTCCCACAGAGAGAATGTGAAGGAGTGACCGACAGGGAAGGACATGCTCTGAGCACTTCAGCCTTCACCTTACTGTTGTTA